TTTATTTTATCTTGCATTATTGCCTCTCATTCTACCATATTGTTCCGAGGAGAGAAGCTTATTTAGAACAGGGTCTCTTTCTAGCAATGGTCAGGTCCATTAAAGCAAAATCAGATTACTGGTTAGGTTTTCCTGCAAAGTCAGGGGCACAGTAATACTTTTGGAAACTGCCTTCAATATAAATGGTCCTTGCTTAATGACTTTCTGCTTAGTGTCCGTTCAAAGTTACAGTGGATCCCCAAAAGGTACTTATGATCCTATTTGAAGTTTGAGGGCTGCATATCCACATACATACAAGGTCACGTGATAGTATCTTGGGTGCTTGGCAACCAGCTGGCATTTGCAACCAGGTTGCAGTGTTCCCCAGCCATGTGATTGCTCTTCATTTTTTTTGCTGATTTCCGGGATTTACTTCTGTTTTCTGGAGAAAACACTTCATTGGATATAATGGATTCATTGAAGCACCACAGCCTTGGCTTAACAACCATGGCTTGTTCTTAATGACCACTTCAAAAAAGATGATAACATTGTGCACAGTCACATCTTGCAACTTATGACCATAATTCCCAGCTCAGTTACGGTCACAAATCAAGGATTACCTGTACGGTTCTGAAGACTAATTAGATTCAGATATGCATAAGCATAATTTTTGGTGAGTCTTCTGGATCATGCTGCCACAGCCATGTTGTAAATGATTGCGTGTACGTGAATATGCCCGTGAAGCTGTCTGCCAGGGCTAAATGCATGTTTTGATATGGAAAGGAGAACAGAACACAATGTCTTCTTATTATACCCATTGAGCAGTTCATTAATTTTAAAATAAAAGTGAGATTGCTTATTAGTCTGTCAGTATACCTAGAGGTGACCATCAGCTTGAGAAATTTTCTTCTAGGTCAGGAGTAGGCAACCTTGGCTCTTTTATGACTCGTGGACTTCAACTCCCAGAATTCCTGAGCCAGCTGTGCTGGCTCAGGAATTCTGGGAGTTGAAGTCCACGAGTCATAAAAGAGCCAAGGTTGCCTACCCCTGGTCTAGGTTAATACAGCTGCATAGATTGTGAAATTGAGCCCTTATTTAAACATGGTTATGAATACTACCACCAATATGGCCCAGCCAGTGAAAAAAATAAGAGTTCACCTAATGGAAAATGCGGAAACTGTTTTTATTAAGAATATCTGACTTTCTTCTGAATACATGCACATGTACATTTTTATGTTTTCACAGTTTTGTGCCTAATATTTTTGCAACATATTTTCTACTACGACAGCAAACCCTCCTGTATCATTTTTCTGAACGTGTGCAGTCATTTCCCTAATACTGAATACTGATTTAAATTGCTAGCAAACTGCTCTGGAAAACAGAGGTCTCTGAATTTTGAATGGTACTTTTGGATTGCATATTGGTTCAATATGCCCTGAGGTTGCATTTGAGTGGAAACTCTACCTTTTCCTTTACCAATGTCCCAGAGATGGGACAGATTAATTCTGTTTCTGCAGAGAAGGGTTGAAGGTTTGGTGCAAGTGACACTGTGCACAGGATGAGAAGAGAAGTAGAAAAATAAGGTAGCCTTGACCATGCTGGTTGGGAATTCTGGAGATTGGAGTTCCGGTAGAACATAGAATAATAGAATTGGAAGGGACCTTGGAGGTCTTCTAGTCCAACCCCCCTGCTCAAGCAAGAGACCTTATACCATTTCAGACAAATGTTTGTCCAGTCTCTTTTTGAAAGCCTCCAGTGATGGAACACCCACAACTTGAAGGCAAGCTATTGCATAGGTTGATTGCTCTCACCGTTAGAAAATTTATCCTTAGTTCTAGGTTGCTTCTCTCCTTGGTTAGTTTCCATCCATTGTTTCTTGTCTTGCATTTTGGTACTTTGGAAAATAGTTTGACCCCCTCGTCTTTGTAAGAATCCTTCAAATATTGGAACACTGCCATCATACCACTCCCTTTGTCTTTCTTTTCATTAGAGACATGCCCAATTCCTGTTACCATTGTTCGTATGTTTTAGCCTCCAGCCCTGTAATCATTTTTGTTGCTCTTCCAATGTTGTACATTTAGAGGTTGCCAACTTGAGGGTTTTATTGTCATTTTATAAGGAACTTTGAGATGTTTTTATTGACCATGGAGGCTTTAGAGAAAAGATAGTTGTTGTTTTTTTTAATATGGTTATCTGAGCAGGCTCTTTGAAAGCTCAATAGCATTTGTATTCATGGCTAGAAGACAGTATATATATCATGGCAGACATCTCCTATTTAAATGCACAGTTCCTTTAGGCCAATGTGGGCTTTATCAAAAATGTTCTGTATGCAGTGTTTACATAACTGTGGTGGAGGGTATGAAGAAACAGAGCTGTGGCATTGCCATAAACATTTCCAGACAAGGGGAAATCTAAAAGAAAACTTTTATCACCAAATTGCAGATAATGTCATGTTTCAGAAGCCAGATCCGAGAGAAAAGCCAGTGAGGTTTATAGAAGAGCAGATTGCATTTTTAAGTAACTTAAAATAGTGTTTTGGTATCATCTGACATATTCTCACTGCAGACAAAGAATCAGTAACCATGCCTGGGGGCATTCATGTTGGAAAGCCAGATAGAATAGAGAAGAATATGTCCACATTGACTGTTGCCCTGCTATTGCAATGAGAATAATCCTCAAAAATAATACAAAGCAGAACCAACTCATCTCCACAATCTTGTTTTTTGTTGTTGTTCTTTTTCTTGTTGACTTTTTAATTGTTTCTTTAGAGAAATGACACCATCCATTTTTAGAGATGGAAAGGTATTAATTTAATGAGTACCATTTTTGTTGGTCAACAAGATGTTTGCTGATAATGTTTTATCAGTGAATACACTGATTTCCAATATGTTGTTTTCTCAGACACTCATTGCGCTTTCTAATTGTCCAGTTTGAACATAATGGTTAATTGTGGTGTCACCCCACACCCAAGATGGACAACTTGTAGTGAGTTGTATCTTGTACTGTCTCCTTTGCCTTTCAGTTATGCTGAGATGGCAGTTCCCTAAATTCAAAGCCGGCATAAGAGGTTAATTTTTTAAGGCGTGATTAAATTTATTGCCAGTGTTTGCTGCAGCAGACTGATGCCATTTGATAGATTTATATTCTTATTTTGCTCCAAGAGCTCAGGGTGACATATATGGGGATAATCCTTCATTTAATCCCCATGAGAACAAGCCAGTGAGGTTGGTTGAACTAAGAGACAAGCTTAAAGAGAAGCCAGTGGATTTCCATAGATGGAGATAGGCTTGAATTTTGATCCCTCATCTCCTAGAACAGGAGTAGGCAACCTTGGCTCTTTTATGACTCGTGGACTTCAACTCCCAGAATTCCTGAGCCAGTCCAGTTGCCTCCTGAAAAAGCGTCTTTGGGATACTTTTCAGCTGGGCTAGATGAATGGGTGGTGACATTTCAGGGCCATTTGTGGACTTGATCGCCCAGATTGGATGACACGAGAAGATTGAGCTTCACTGACCCAATCCTGTAGTGTCAGTTGATCCTGCTGCTTGATGCTACCACTCCGTGGGGAAAGAACAGAGCAAGCATCATTCATCGTGTTTGGCTTCCAAAAGAATATATCTTTCTCCAGTAAACGTTTTCTGCCATTGGACAAGCTGTCCTTTCCTGTGTAGGGAAGACAGTGGCTTTAGCTCTTTTCTTGGAAGTGATGGAAGGGAAAGGGGGCCCAGAAGTGCTTTTTCAAAAGGCCAAGGACTTTGGTTTTTGTTTTCCTTTGAAGATGCTTCACTTCTCATCCAAGAAGCTTCTTCATTTCTTCAGTTCCAGAACTGAAGAAGCTTCTCAGATGAGAAGCGAAATGCCTTCAAAGAAAAAAAACCAAAACCAAGTCCAGTTGCCTTTTGAAAAAAACACCTTTGGGACAACCATGACCTGGATGACTGAGAATCTCCATAGACCAGGGAAAGATGGGTTACAGGTAGACTGGGCAAACCTTCAGCAATCCACTGGTTTTTTTTTTACATCCCATGCCATATTGAAGACTGATGATGAGGAACAAGTGAAATGGAACTGCAGTGGAATGCCAAGCTTATAGGATGGGGAGATACCTTATAGGGAGCCCTGGTGATGCGGTGGTTAGAGTGCAGTATTGCAGGATAACTCTGCCCACAGCCTGGAGTTCAATCCTGATGGGGCTCAAGGTTGACTCAGCCTTCCATCCTTCCCAGGTCGGTAAAATGAGAACCCAGATTGTTGGGGGCAATATGCTGACTCTGTAAACCGCTTACAGAGGCTGTAAAGCACTACAAAGCGCTATGTAAGTCTAAATGCTATTGCTATGCGCTACCTGACAGGAACCCATTTCGCTAGCTATGTTAAGTTTGATCTTGACTCAATGGACTACAGGTTCCCCATCCCTGGCATGGTGATTTTTCACATTTCTACACCTACACATCCTGTAATCGGACTGGAACTTTGAGAATATATGTAACTCTCCCCTCTTTTCCTATTTATTGTATGTATTTATTTTTCTTCTACAGGATTGTTGAAGTTCATTCACCAGACGCCAAGCACATCTTGGTGCTAAGGAGTAAAGACGCAAGCACCGCCCAGGCCTGGTTCTATGCTATCCACTCCTGTATCAGTGAGCTCATTCCTAAAGTCATCTCAGAGGTCAAAGATCAACTGGGCAAAGCAGGAATTGCTGGAGGCCGAGAAATTAGGCATTTGGGTTGGCTGGCAGAAAAGGTAGTGCCAACTTTTTCCTCTTGTCTCCAATAGCCCCCTGCTTGTGCTTGAGTTCTCGAGACTTCAGTCCAATTTTTAGTTTGGTATTAAAGAATGAAAGCAGTTGATTAGCTTTACTTCTTGGAACATGTATGTGCCACTCCTCCAGCTTAATTTGGAGTGGCATTAAAGTAATCAGATGGCTTTCTTTTATAGAACATGATGCATATTTAACCTTGTTACACTCTGATTGAGTTATTTGCTTTAACTCTGTAAAGATAGGTGTATTAAGAGATTAATTGAAACTTACAATTTGGTCATAGGTACCCTACATGTTTGCATATAACTATACTGTACATTCATTAATTCATGTGTACCCTAAGCATATACAAAGGATGGGCATTTCCTCCAGTTCTCATCCTGAGCTCACCCCATTCACCTCTGCTTGTTAATATTTTGCATGGTGAGTGGGGTATTTTTGTTCTGACAGTTGTATAGGTGTAACAGTTGGGATGTCTGCATTAGCTGGAAGACCCATTGCATGAAACCCCTTCATATAAGAAGAGACTGGAAAGCTGTTTGTCTGTAGTGGTATAAGGCAGGTGTGTCAAACTCAATTTCATTGAGGGCCGCATCAGCATTGCGGTTCCCTTGGGGGGGCCAGGTGGGTTGGCCAAGGTGGGTGCAGCCTACTGGGTGGGCGTGGATGGAGTGGGTGTGGCCTACTGGGTGGGCGTGGCCAGCACTACATCATTCACGTCAAGGGTGCCTGTGGAGGCCTGGGCAGGAGTGGGACAGATCTGAGGGTCTCTGGCAGAAAGGGGTGGGACCAAGGCAGAGCCCATCAAGCCGGATATGTGAAGTAGGCGGCCATTTGCTGGCCACTTCCAAGCAATGGTGCATTTCTTCATTCCTCACAAAGAGTGACACCTCCCCAGCATGCACCCAGGAGTGGGGCCGACGCAGCAGGAGCTGGTTTCTCGCTGTTTTCAGACGGCCTTGTGGAGCTAAGATTGAATGCATTTCAGCATAGATGACCACCACAAAATTGTACATTGGCTCCCGCCCAGCCTGGGCTAGGGCAAAGGCAGCGGGGGCCGTTCCCTCACTGTTTCCAGGATGGCTTCGCGGGCCACATGAAGCCACTTCGCGACATGTCTGGTATAAGGTGACATGCTTGAGGCCCTCCAAGCCCCTTCCAACTCTGTTATTCTGTATATGCAGGGTTGTTTGCAGGCAAATGTTTCAATCGAGATATAACTGTTTTTTGAACTACATGGTACAATCATGACAATTTTCTGCAACGTTAATGTCTATTTACTGTTTATGAATGATTGTCTATAAATGCAAAGAAAGAAAAAACAATGAATATGGCAGATGCAAAACCTGGGACCTCTTTTTTAGTCAATGTCTTTAAATACCTTTTTCTTTACAGCCATGATAGCTTCCTAACAACCAGCTATAAGTCTTTCCATTCTTGCTTTTGAATTCCCCCCCCCCCCAACTCCTTGGTGCAGAAGTCTTCTAGCCTTTCATGTTGGCGATCTCCCCACAGTGAGTCACCATCTCCTTGACCTTGCTTTTCATGGCTGTTTTCACAGCATGATAGGATATTTACTAAATGGCTCCTGGCAGTGCTTTTTTTGTATTAAAAAAAAAAAGGTGCCGGAATTCACACATGTCATACAACCTGCCTTGCCTACCCTACAAGGTTCCATCCAAAAAAGGTGCCTGAACTCGGTTCTGGCCGTTCTATGACAAAAAAAGCCCTGGCTCCCGGAAGTTCTAAAAAGGCCTCAATTCTAAGCAACCTTGTGAGCATGCTTTTTTAATGTTAATCATAAAGAGCATTTTGACTTCTTCAAAACTAATTTTAGCACACACTTATATAGGCTCTTATTTATTTATTACATATGAATTTCACTTTTCTTCAAGGTACATAAGGTAGAATATATTCACTCTGAGAAATTCCAGGTGGCTAATAAGTATAAAAACCCAATATAAAAACAATAAAAAAGGAATAACCCCCCCCTCCTGTCAACAATAATCAAATGAACCATTTGATGGCCTGCATCCCACTATGGGGTCCCAGGCCTGTTGGCACAAAACCAGGTCTTCAGGACCTTGCAAAAGAGTGTCAAAATGGAGGCCAGTCTTATCTCTATAGCAGGGGTGTCAAACTGCCGGCCCACGGGCCGGATGTGTCATCCAAAAGCCACTCCCACCCCATTGCCGGCAATGGCAAAACCGTCCCGATAGTTGCACGACATCACGTGACATTGCAAGTTTGACATCATTCTGTAGAATGATATTCCACAGGGAGGGAACCACCAGGGAGAAGGCCTTTCTTCTTGATCCTGCTAGATGGGCCTCCTTAGGAGAAGGGACCGGTAGCATTCCCTGCCTCCCCACCCTGGTGGGTCAAGTAGATGTGACTGGGAAAAACTGTCCCTTCAAATATCCTGGTCCTGAGCCATGTAGGGCAGGGGTCCCCAACCCCCCAGTCCATGGACCAGTACCGGGCCACAGCATGCCAGCAACCGGTCCACACAAACAAGCAATGCCCCATCCGCGGGATACAGGAGCACATGAAACCACGCCCCCTCTGGTCCATGCAAAAACCTCTCTCCACGGAACCGGTCCCCAGAGGTTGGGGGCCACTGATGCAGGGTTTTGAAGGTGACAACCAGTACCTTCTTTTTGTCCTTGTATCAATCCTGTGAACTAGCCACTATTACTCACTAATCTCCATGTACAAATGAATAACCCACGAAATGTAAGAAGTACAAACTAATATTTTCAGTTACTATGCCACAGTCTATGCACCAAATAAGAATTGTACTGTATCTGTTGAATTCTAGTTGGTAAATGTTTAGAAGCTATTAGCCTTTAAGATATGGATGAGAAATTTACTGCCTCCAAAAAGATATGAGATTTGATAAGCTAGAGTTGATAGGAGCAGAATATGGAGAATTATTAGTTGCCTACTTTTATGTTAAGATGTTTTATTATGTTTATTGCCAAAGGTAAACATTGTGACCCTTCCAGAAATAGCGTAAAACTGATCATCTGTAGGTTTTTCAATGTAAAATACTGACCACCTCATAAGAAAAAAAAAAGGGTTTGATTAATGTTAATTTAGACGAAATGTATCTATGTTTATTATTACCCTATAAAATAGAATACACTCCGGTGACATAAATGGACTGAATGCTGTGAATTTTAACAAGTTTTTATTTTAATGGTGCATTTATTATCTCTTATGTAATGTGGTTGGCTTTCCAGGGATTCCAGTTTGAGCTGGATAATAGTAAAGTTTTGAGTGACACTTCAGGGATTTTCAACTATTCTTACTAGTCTGAGTCTCTGGATTCAGCATTCTTGCAAAATAAAGTTTTATTCCTTGAGATGGCTGAGCTCTGCTCAGCTAGGATTTTAGAAGACAAGGAGCTGGATGGTACACAGAACTGAAAAATGATGCCGGGGGAACATGAGTGACCTTTATTGGGTATGCATTCTATGTGTCTGAAGATCAACTTAAAGTATAAATGACTGGTGCCGTTCAGATCTTTTGGGAGGTCACCTTTGGTAGACTTTATAAAAAAATACCAAGAGTATATTTCCTACCAGATGAAAGATTGGGGGAGGGGCATTGGTTAGTCGGTTGTTTGATTTTCATTTATTCGTCTAGCATTAATTATAGAATCCAGAATCAAGGTATAGAGTAGAAGGATACAGTAAAGTTTTAAAGTTTCTCGCCCTCATTATTTCGGTAGTGACTAGAAAAGAGATTTTCAAAATTAATTTTACAGATATTGCAGGGCTGGGCCACATTACATTTCTCGAACCATTTGATTATGGGTCGCATACCAAGAACCAGGTAAAAGAGAATGCTGCAACCCTGAAAAATTTCATACAATTATTTTTAAATATAATTAGAATTACATTAAATAAATGTTTATTACAAATAAAGGTGAATATATGTGTTCCGGGAGAAAGTTGCAGGATCCAATCTGGGTCCGTCACCGGGACCAGAAGTTTTTGTCTTCTGAGCTTTCGGACTTTTGCTGGAGCCCATCCTCAGGCAACTTCTCTCTAGCACAGGGGTAGGCAACCTTGGCTCTTTTATGACTCGTGGACTTCAACTCCCAGAATTCCTGAGCCAGCATGCCTCAGCTTGGAAATCTCTCCCTGTCCCCTTAGCATGGCTGGCTCAGGAATTCTGGGAGTTGAAGTCCACGAGTCATAAAAGAGCCAAGGTTGCCTACCCCCTGCTCTAGCAGAATGTGTGCTGTTCTGTGTGTAGTGTTTATAGTGCCTGTTGTAAGTGGCTTTTTAGATGTTGATTGAGGTATGTTGATGGCTGGCTTTTAAGTCATTAGCTGTCATTAGCTGCCCAGCCCTAGCCCTCTAAGTACTTGATAGGCTGGTGGTAAATCAGCACTCCTGTTGACTGTTGACTGTTTCCCAGACTTCAATCACTTCCCTGACTGTTTTTGTGCCTGCTTGTCCAACAATCTTGGTAGCTGCAAAATTGAATGTATGTCCTTGTTTATTACAGGGTGAGGCTACCAATGAGTTTAGGTCTTCTCGTCTGACCGCTCGCTTGTGTTCTTGCAAATTGGTGATTAACTTCCTCCCCAAATCCCCATGCAGGGGATTTGATAGATTACATTGGAAGTATTTCCCACCTCCAAGCGATGTTTATAATGCATAATTTGTCCTCATATGGTGGAGGGAGGGAAGGAAGGAAGGAAGGAAGGAAGGAAGGAAGGAAGGAAGGAAGGAAAACCACGCTGTCTGGTTAATTGAAGGAGACTGTTAGACACAATGATGCAAAACGCAGGTTTATGATTTGAGTGATATAATCAGCAGGAGAAGGAAAACAAGGTTTTTTTGCCTCCCTTGTCCCTTTATAACTTTTTTTTTCATGTTTAGATGAACTACAGAGAAAATTTGTGAGCTGTGAAATAGAAAGAAGAACTTAAACACTAGGCACACTTTCATCTAAACTGTAGATC